GGGGGGAGCCACAGAGGAAAAAGGGTGGGGGTCAGGAAGGGGGGGGAGGAGGGACAAGGAAGGGTTTGGGGGGAGGGGCATGGGGTTCAGGGGGATCCTGGGGGGTTCTCTGGGGACTTTGGGGGTCCCCCGGGGAATTGGGGGGGTGGGGGGGGGCTGGGGGTCCACAGAGGAGCCAAAGGGGATGGGGGAAGGGTAGAGGGGGGTTCAGGGGGGTCCCAGTGGGAATCACTTGGGTGGGGGGGGGTCTAAAAAAGGGGGGACAGGGAGGAATCCTGGGAGGAATCCAGGAAAAGTTTATGGGGACAAACAGCGGGAAAAAGAAAACAAAAACAACAAAAAAAAACCCGCAGAGAACCGGGATGAGGAGGAACAACGGGGGGACCCCAATCCCAAACAGCTCCCGGTGTCCCCCGGTGTTCCCCCGTCTCCCCCGGTGCCCAGAGCGGCTCCCCCAGTGTCCCCCGGTGTCCCCCCGGTGTCCCCCGGTGCCCGGAGAGGCTCCCCCGGTGTTCCCCGGTGTCCCCCCGCACCTGCTCGGCCGTGGCCGGATCCATCTCCACCCGCCCGGCCTCGTACTCGTCCTCGCTGTTGTATCCTCCGCCCGCCTCGTCGGGCCCGGGGCTGCCGCAGGCGGGGCCCAGCCCCATCCCCAGCCCGATCCCCCCGGGGCCCGAACCGGCGGAGCCTCCGCTGGGCCCGGCCCCTCCGCGCCGCCGCCTCTTGCTGTGCCCGGGGCCGCCGCCGCCTCCGCCGCCGCAGCCGGGCCCGCGGGGCTCGGGCAGCCCCAAAGCCGCCGCCTCCAAGCCCAGCAGAGCCGCGGGCCCGTCCGCGGAACCGGGGCCGCCGCCTCCGGGACCTCCGGGCCCGGCGGGAGGAGGAGAACCGGCGGCTCCGGGCAGCCCGGCCCAGCCCCGCAGCGGCGGCGGCGGCGAGGCCCGAGGCCGAGGCCCCCCCACGCCGGGTCCCCCGGGTTCACCGACGCCTCCGGGGCCTCTCTCCGGTCCCGCGTCCGCTCCGCGCTCGGGCCCCGCGTCCGGGCCCGAATCCGCGTCGCCGTCGGGAGCCGGGACCGGCTTCTTCTTCGGGAGGATCGTCATGGCGGGGCGAGCATGGGGGGCCCCCGGGGGGCTCGGCGGGGGTCGGGGGCGGGCCGGGGGTCAGCCGGGGGGGCTCTGTGGGGCGGGGGGGCCGCGGGAGGGGGCTCGGAGGGGCCCCCCCGGCTCTGAGGGGCCGCGGGCGCTGCGGCCGCCGGGGCCGTGTCAACATCAACAGCCGCGACCTCCGACCCCGCGCGCGCTTCCGCCTCGCCCGCGCCACGCCCCGCCATTGGCTAGCGCCGGGAGAGCCGCGCTGCCATTGGTGGAGAGCGCGTGCGGAAGTCCCGCCTTTTCTAAGCCACGCCCCCGCCGTGGGAAGGCGGGACCGGCGTCGCCATGGTGATGGAGGGGGCCGAGCGGTGATTGGGCGACGGAAGTGATTGGCTGGTTCCGGAGGCGGGAGCTGAGAGAGGAGGGTGTTGATTGGCTGGCGGAGGTGCCGGTTCAGAGCAGAGGGGAGGAGCGGGTTAAGGTAAACGCGCGTGCTGATTGACTGGCGCCGTGTCAATCATGGGAAGGCGGGAGCGGCGGGGATACGCCAAGCCCTGATTGGCGCGAGCCTTAACCCCGCCCACACCGCTCTCTTATTGGCTGTAGCGAACGACCTAATTTCCCATTGGCTCAGGGGCGGAGCCCAGCCGACAAAGCCCCGCCCCTCCCATTACCCCACCCAACTGTCAATCATCAAGCCCCGCCCCTTTCCCCTCCCTCCCACGTGGTCCAGCCCCCCCAAAACCCCCCAAAATCAGAGCCCGAGCTCCATTTCCAGCTCCTTTATTAAAACCCCCCTCCCACCCCCTCAGGAACGAGGGGAGCTCCCTCCGCACACCCCAAAACCGAGCCCGAAACCCCCCCAGAACGGGGCCGGGGGACGCCCGCGGAACCCCCTGGACCCAGGGAAGGGCCGGGGGGGCTCCAGGAGGTTCCGGGGGGTCCCTCGGGGGGTCCCGGGCTCAGTGGGCCTTGTGGCGGGGCCGGTCGTGGCCGCGCTGGGCGGTGGCCAGCTGGCGCCAGGCGTCGAGGAGCAGGAGGCCGGGCACCAGCAGCCAGAGCCCGTTGAGCCCCACGAAATAACCCCAGAAATAAAGGGGGCGGGGGTCGCTGTGGGTCCAGCCCGCCCGAGCCTCGGTGGCGAAGTAGAGAACGTCCCCGTAGAGCTGCCCTGGGGAGGGGACACGGGAGGGGGTCAGGGGGGCAATGGGGAAGGGGACAGGGATGGGGACACCTGGGACAGGTGAGGATGAGAATGGGGATGGGGACAGGTGATGATGAACATGAGGAGCGGGACACCTGGGACAGGTGAGGATGAGTATGATGATGAAGATGAGGATGAGGACACCAGGGACGGGTGATGATGAGGATGAGGATGAGGACAGGTGAGGATGAGGATGGAGATGAGGATGAGGACAGCAAGGACGGGTGACGACGAAGATGAAGATGAGGACAGCAGGGACAGCTGATGAAGATGAGGATGAGGAGGGGGACACCAGGGACAGGTGAGAATAAGGATGAGGATGAAGATGAGAATAAAGAGGGGGACAGGTGAGGATGAAGATGAGGATGAGGAGGGGGACAGGTGATGATGAAGATGAGGAGGGGGACAGGTGAGGATGATGAGGATGAGGATGAGGAAGGGCACAGGGCCGCACCGAGGGACACGATGAGCTGCAGCACGTAGCGGGCCGGGTGGTGGCGGAGGAAGGCGAGGAAGGTGAGGAAGCTGAGGGGACCCCAGGCCCAGGCTGTCACCGTCTCCATGGCAACCGTGAAGTCATCGCTCCTGCGAAGGCCGAGGGGAGACCCCCAGGGGTCACCGGGGGGTCCCCAGGGCCGCCCCCTCCCCACGGACCCCAACTCACGTCATGTAGCGGCTGTCGGCCTTGGCGTACTCCTTCCCTGGGGAATTTGGGGAGGGGGGTCACCAGGTGGGAGGGGAGGAGACCCCCCCCCAAAGCCTCCAGGGGACCCCCAGCACCAGGGTGTCCCCCTCCCCACGTGCCCAGGGAACCCACAAATGCCCCAGGGCACCCAAAAACGTTCCAGGGACCCTTCCCCACATATCCAGTGAATCTCCAGTGCCCCATAATGTTCAGAGACCCCTCCTCAAATGCCCCAGGGACCCCACAAATGCCCCAGGGACCCCACAAATCCCCCAGCGACCCCTCCCCACCTGCCCAGGGACCCCACAAATGCCCCAGCGACCCCCACAAATGCCCCAGCGACCCCTCCCCACCTGCCCAGGGCACCCAAAAACGCTCCAGGGACCCCTCCCCAGGTATCCAGTGAATCTCCAGCACCCCACGATGCCCAGAGACCGCTCCCCACGTGCCCGGCGACCCTCCAGCACCCACCGCAGACCCCGAGGACCCCTCCCCAAAGCCACCGGGGGACCCCCTTGGCCTCGCTCACAGACGTCAGCCAGCAGCCCGGTGTCGGCGGGCAGCTCCCGGTGCCGGAGGCTGAAATATCCTTCCAGGACCCCGTGGATACCGGAGCAGAGCAGGAACCAGCCCAGGACCAACCGGCGGGCGGGGCTCCGCTTGACCACGCCCTTGGCCCCGCCCTTGGCCCCGCCCCCTGCCCCGCCCAGCGCCCAGCCCAGCGAAAACAGCGCCGCCGCCGCCGCCGCCACCGCGCCTGCGCACTGCCAGCCGGGCCGCGCGCCCGCCACGTAACCCGGCAACGCCAGCGCGCGCGGCCAATAGGGGTGCGCGCTCGTCTCCATGGCAACAGCGCCGCCGCCCTGCGTGAGGGGAGGGCGGAAGTGAGCGCCGAGGCCTGGCAGGAAAAGAGCGAGCCCGCCCCGCTGGAACGCGCGGAGCCCGCACGGAGCTGTCCCGCCGCTCCCCGGTACCGCGCAGAGCCCCTCGCAACCCTCACCGGGCCGCTCCCCGAGCGCTGCGGCCCGGCCTGAACGAGCCCTCCCCCGTCCCGCTCACCTCAGCCGCTCTACCGGGCCCCGCCGCTCCGGCGCCCGCCGCGCGCCTCGCTCCGCCCCCGCGCCGCCCCCGCAGCCAATGGCAGCGCGCCGCCTCAAGGCCGACCAATAGCGGCGCGCCTCGCCCGCCTCTCCCTGCCGCTGATTGGCTGAGCTCGCCCCTGGGGAGATGTGGGGCCAGGGGGCGTGGCCAAAGGGGGGCGTGGCACAACGATGCTCCGCCCAAAGGGGGCGTGGCCAAGTCATCCTATGGGGGTTCTATAGGGGACGCCCCCAAATTATACAGGAACCCCTAGACCCCTCCCCAAATTATTTCAGATCCCACAGACCCCTCCCAAAATTATTTTGGGGCTCTGAAGACCCCACCCTAAATTATTTAATTGTCTCAAAACCCCCCACAAAATTATTTAGGGACCCCAAGGACCCCCCCCCCCAAATTACATGAGTACCCCCCCAACCGTGTAGGAACCATATGAAGCCCCCCCCTCCAAATTGTTTCGCTTTTTGGGTACCCGGGAACCCCAAATCCGCGACTTTTCCCCCCAAAATAAAGAGGCGGAGCCGGAGGTGGCAGCAGGTCCCTGTATTGACCCCGCCCCCCCCCGCGACCCCCCAAAACCGCCCCGCGACCCCCCCAGGACCCCCTCCCCAAAAAGCGGCGACTCTCCAGGAGCGGCCGTGGGGGGGGGGGGGGGGGGGTCGGGATTTTTGGGGATCTCCCCCCTCCCCTCCCCTCCCCCACCATGAATTTAGGGACCCCTCCCCACGGGTTTGGGTGATTCTTGTTTTTTTTGGGGGGGTGGGGGATGTGGGGGGAGGGGTCAGACGAGGGTCCCGGGGGGCTGCGGGTCCAGGGGGGGTGGGGGGGTGGTCCCGGGGGTGTCCCCGGAGGTTCTGGGGGGTGGGGGGAGGGAAAAGAGCCCCAAAAAACAGCGGAAAAAAGAGAAAATGAAAAAAAATGAGGAGAAAAAAAAAAAAAAAGCAACAGAAACAGGAAAAAAAAGGAGAGAAAAGAGAGAAAAAAGAGTTAGACCCCCCCCAAAATGACCCCCCCGACATCTACCCCAACCCCCTCCCCAAATTCTGTCAGCCCCCGGGACCCCCAACCCGAGCCCTGGAATGGAGAAAAGAGGGAAAACCAGGAAAAAACAGAAAAAAACCCCAGGAAAGACCCCGGAAAGGGGAGGAAAAACCCCAAAATTTGGAAATTCAGACCCGGGGGGGGTCTCAATGAATGGGGGGAGGGGTCCCCAAAATGGGGGGGAGGGGGATAATCAGACCTGGGAGGGGGTCCCAAAT